CTCTCCTATCAAAAAGTCTGCAAGCAAGAAGATTTCTGTTAGGGTTCCTGATGCCCCACTTGACAACATCTCCTTCCAGTCTGTTGGGAATGATGAAAAATGGAAGTATGTGTATCAAATAAGGATTTCCCTGGAGAGAGAACTGGGAGCTGGTGCTTTGGAATGTAAAGAAATCATGAAGCTGATATCTTATGCTGGATTGATGAAAACAGTTACCATGTTTTTCAATTGCTATGAAACTCTTGTTACAAAGTTTATTATTAATATTCCTTTTGACTGTGATGACCATAAAAGTAAGGAATATAGAAAGATTTTTGTTAGAGTAAAATGTGTAGAATTTTCTACTACCATTATAAATAGATTTCTAGATAGGTATAAAGATGTCTGTTGTGAGATGGAAGTTACAAATAATCAAGTGTGCAGAGCCATCACTACTAATCAAGTAAGTGAGCGGCCCATGAAAAATAAACTTCATGTTAGCAAACTGAGTGTGAAATATGCTATTTTACATAGGATTGGAGCTGCAAATTGGGTTCCCACTAATCACACTTCAACCATCTCTATTGGATTAGGAAAGTTCATTTATACTATTGGAAACCAGAAACATTTTGATTACGAGACTTATATCTTTGATCAAACCATTAAACATGGAGAAACTTGTGCCATTAAGATGCCAATTGCTTTTCCTTCTCTCCTCTATGGAATTATCCTTAATCAGCATCCTAGAATCCTAAGTGAAAATGATGTAATGTGCAAGAGGGAGTCTGCCTTGACCCTTCAGTTTAAGCTCTTTTCAGGAAAACATGTCCCAGACATTGTTTTGACATCTGCACCTGCTGAAAAGACCTCCACCAAGGATGATATGATCAAAGAATTAAGAGAAGCCTGCAAGGAATTGGACGATGTAATCAGAGTTAGCTCAACAAGAAAGCTAACCTTTGAAAAGATGATCAAGGAAGCTAACTCTGAAGGTGAAGACTCTAATGAGGAAGAAAGTTCTAGCTCAGACAAGTCAACTGGTCCTGATGACAGTTAGACTAGTTGATGTTTCTTTATATGATCCTTTTGTTTCTTTTTAGCACTTACATGTGTTTTACATTTGATTTCTATGGTCTGTACCTAAATTACTGATACACTCTTGAATGCATCAGTTTATTTTTCATATTATGACTAAAAATGGGGAGAGAGAGAGTGACTGACTGACCACTGACTAACATCTGATTGAGGGGGAGCCTCGTGTCTCAGAAGATATTTTGACATCTTCCTTTGCTAACAGCTAACTGCTAACTGAGTTGATGCTTGCTTTGCTTATGATGCTAATCTGATTTTTCTTTGATAATATATTGCTCTGCTCTGATAATGTTTTAGCCAAAATTTGCTAAAGGGGGGAGTTTGTAAGTGTTTGTTGGTAACAATTTTGGTAAAATAATGTGTTGTTAATGTTTTGCTAAATGTCTTGACATTTGTAGCAAACTCTTTTGAATGATATCAAAGAAGATGTCTTGACATCTGCCTCCTGAACTGATTTCAGCCAACATTAGTATATGTTTGTGTTTCCTGATTTCCAGCACTCCATAATTCAAGATTTGTGACTCACAGGCAGCGAAAAATATAGAGGAATATTTTTCAAAATGCATGGATTTTATCTTGACCTGTTTTTATGGAAATATTCAAAAGAATTGAATATTGAGTTTTAAAGCCCAAACCCACAACTGCACATATATAAGGACTTGCTTCCTTATTCAAATTATCACAACTTTTGAAGAAGAATACTTTCTTTCTGTCTTAAAAAGTCTAAGTCTTTTAATTGTCAAACACTCTAGTATTGATTGAATACTTGTGTTGTTATTTGGGTTGTTAATTGTGTATCATTCATAAGCTTTTAAGCATTAAATGATTGAAGTTTTTAAACTTATTATTTATGTTGTTTCTTCACTATAAGTGATTGAAGGGATTTGAGGAGGGCCTCATACCTTGGTGAGTCTTAGGTATAAGTATAGCACGAGTAGTGATTAAGTGATTAGATCGTAAACTAGTTGTTTACTGAGGGTCTATGAATTGATACTATTTAGTGGACTTGTCCCTGGCTTGATAGCCCCCATAGTAGGTGTTATTGTACACTGAACTGAGTGAATAATCTCTTGTGTTTTTAAGCATTAAATGATTGAAGTTTTTAAACTTATTATTTATGTTGTTTCTTCACTATAAGTGATTGAAGGGATTTGAGGAGGGCCTCATACCTTGGTGAGTCTTAGGTATAAGTATAGCACGAGTAGTGATTAAGTGATTAGATCGTAAACTAGTTGTTTACTGAGGGTCTATGAATTGATACTATTTAGTGGACTTGTCCCTGGCTTGATAGCCCCCATAGTAGGTGTTATTGTACACTGAACTGAGTGAATAATCTCTTGTGTTTTTACTGCTTTTGTTATTACTTCTCTTTACTTGTAAACATATATTTGTGTCATGACATCTCATTCAACATCACATATCTGATACCAGAATTTCAAAGACTAACAAGTTTGATTGATGGAAACAAGCTATGCAAACTAAACTTGCAGATCTTGAAAGGACATGTACATGGGACATAGTGGACCTACCACCAAACATCAAACTCATAGGAAGTAGATGGGTGTTCAAAACCAAATTTCACGCAGATGGTTCAGTAGAGAGATTCAAAGTTAGGTTAATTTTCAAATGCTACAACCAAATTGAAGGATTAGATTACTTTGATACTTATTCACTTGTGACAAATTTAACTACGACAAGGCTTGTCATTGATGTTACTTCCAGCAACAATTATTTCATCCATCAACTAGATGTGAACAATGCATTTCTCCATGGTAATCTCTAAGAAGATGTTTACATGGTTATTTACAAGTATCAATCCTCCAAAGCAAAATCAAGTGTGCAAGCTCAGAAAATCATTATATGGTTTTAAGCAAGCTAACATAAAATGGTATGAAAAGCTCACTTCAACACGCCTCCATAGTGGTTACACACAAGCAAATGCAAACTATTCCTTGTTCACTAAGAAAAAGCCCAATTCATTTACTCTACTTTTGGTCTATGTCAATGATATCATGCTTGCAGGCAATTCCTTGGATGAATTTGATAGGATAAAATCCATATTAGACCATAATTAAAAATAAAAAATCTAGGTCAATTGAATTATTTCCTTGTCTTAGAAGTTCCCCATTCCAAAACACGAATATCTTTGTGTTAGAGAAAATACTGCTTAGATTTGTTATCTGACACAAGAATGCATGCTCCAAACTGATTTCTACACATGTAGACCCTTTAAACAAGTTATTCCATTATGATAGTCATGCATATCATGATATTCCTTTACTATAGACGATGGATTGGTAGGTTACTATACTTAACAATAACAAGACCAGACATTACCTTCATTCCTTAACAACTTAGTCAATTCCTCAACAAGCCAACCACTACACATTTTAAAGCATCAATTAGAGTTCTTTGATACCTTAGACATTATCCTACTCAAGGTTTATTTTTCTAAGAGATTCCTCATTCCACCTCACTGGTTCCTTTGATGTTGATATGATAGGTTGTGTGGAGAGTAAAAGATCAACGTCAGATCAAGATTTCTTCTTAGACAAGTCTCTAATTTCTTAGTGCACAAAGAAGCAACTAATAGTTTCTAAATCAACGCCAGAAGCAGAATATTTGTGTATTTTCTTCAATGGCTCGTATATTTGCTTGAAGATCTTAAAACCAATTCATTCAAGCTTTCTGTTCTCTACTGTGACAACCTTAGTGCATTTTACATTACTGTAAATCCAGTGTTCCATAAGTGTAAATTATAAGTCGAACAAACTTTCTCTAATTAATATATATTTGTTAGGAGTTTGTAATCATGCACAATAGTTCTTACACTGTTGCACATTACCATACTCTTCTTATCTCCTATAAGTACCAATTGTAATCATCATTTCAAATCAATAAAGTGAATTGCTTTCTTCATAATGTAAATTATCTTATTAAATGGAGTAATATTAGTATTTAGTATAAAATTAGTGGATAAATTCAAATTATAAGTCGAGAAATGCACAATTGATGTGGAAACCGAGAAGCCCAAATTTGTGGCTTTATGAAATACATGAGTTTTGTCTTTCAAACTCAATTCCAAACACTCCCTTATTGTGCAATTAGAACTTATAAGGACAAACAGGGGCCTATCATTTTCAAATGCATTTATTTTAAGATAAAATGAAGACATCCTTTTTCAATAGTAGTATTTTCAATAATTAATGATCCTCTTTTGTAAGAAATATAATAGATGACCAACCAATAAACAGATAGACCTTTCAAAGGTCATCTGTCAAATAATAATGTTTTGAAAACATACTTTTGGACACATATGATTCATATTATTTAATAAAAAGTTTAACAAAATTCATGGCCAAAAAACAACCTATACTCACATACTATTCTGTATCTTTTTGTTTTTTCACCTGCCGTCATTAATATATACAACAAAAACAAATAAAAAATTATCTTACTACCTTAACGTTTTATTTTCTTCATAAATTCGTTCACATCTATTATAAAGATATATTTGATTATGGTGACAAACGGAAAAGTCCGTCTTATTTAAACTCGTCACAAAATTATTGGAAAAAAAAAACAGAACAAATATTATTAAAGATATTAATCTAAATACTATCCCTAATGGCTAATTCTGTTATTTTCCCCTCATTAGATACGCACGTTATGAAATAAATAACAAGTTACCACTAATAGTAACACTGATGCATTGCATGTGGCCTTTGAAATAACAAAAGAAGAATCGCCGACTTCACACTCCATCCATGTGCGATGCTTCATATTCCTCTGCTGTCTTTCTTTCTCTCACATGTTCTCGTTCTTCCACTACCACCACTTCACATGACTCATCTTCACCTCAAAACAACCACTAACCTTCTTCAAAAACGTTAAACACTGTCAACCTTTTCTTCCTCAATCCTCTTCCCATGGATTCCAACACCATTCTTGATTATGCTCTGTTTCAACTCACTCCAACCAGAACCAGGTTCGTCTCATCATCATCGCACACCCCTTTTTTTTGTATCGTTTTATTTTGTTGTTTTCTTCTTGAAAATTTGTGCTTTTTATAGAATCACTTATTGGGTAGTGTTTATAATTTTGCAGATTTGAGCTTGTAGTGTTCTGTGGAGGTGTTCGTGAGAAAATAGCTTCTGGGTTGTTTGAACCTTTTGTTTCTCATCTCAAATTTGTCAAAGATGAGATCTCGAAAGGCGGTTACTCCATTAGGCTTCTGCCTCCTACCAATACTGCTTTTTGGTTCTCCAAATCCACCTTTGAGAGGTGATTGATTCATAGTTCATGTGTTAAGTTTTGCAATATTTTATTCGTTGATTTTAATCAAATTTGAAGAAGCCTCAAATTGATTATGTAAATGAATTGGTTTAAGTTGTTTTATGGATTTACTGTTATGCAAGAGATGAGGTTTTGGATTAAATTATTTGTGAAGCTGAATTTTTTTTTGGACAGATTTGTGCGGTTTGTTAGCACACCTGCAGTTCTTGAGAGATTTGTTAGCCTTGAAAAGGAAATTCAGCAGATTGAAAGTCAATTTCAAGCGAACGCATTATTGATGTCGTTAACAATCCCTGAAGAAGGTATGGTCAGGAGTTGCAACTTAATTCTTGTTTAGTTGATGTTTCTGTAGGAAATGATCAAGGTTTTAAATAACGGTCGCGGTCAAGTTGTGGCTGCGTAAAGGCTATCGCATTTCAGTTGGTAAAGATGTTTTGCGGTACTGAATGCAATCTTTGCGGTTTGAATTAATCACAATTTCTTTTTCATCATAAATATGTTGAATAACGGTATCGGTACCTTCCAATACCATTTTTTGCGGTTGTTTTTTTTTTTTTCAGTAACAAGCCTTTTTTTAAAACCTTGGGAAAACCTTGGAAATGATTGAACTCTTTTTGTCTATTAACCAAAGAAGCTATATACATATATGTATAGAATGTTTAACTGAAGTTAGTTTTGTACTAAAATTCAATTGTTTATCAGGAAACTTGCCACAAACCAATGGCAACACAAGGAGGTTAAGTGATTCTACTAAGGTAATTTTTCCGCTCTATTAAAATATCTCAGAATTATCTAAAGATCGCTATTTATTTTTCGTTAATTCATGTTTTGTGTTTGCATCAGTTGGATGATGTACTTGAAGGGGTTGGCATTAAAGAAGAAGAAAACTCAAAGTAACTTTCTAGCTTTTGAATAGTTTTTTGTTGATGAAATCTAGTCTCTATTTGTTTGGGGTTAGTTCATTAGATACTTTTTCTAACACACTCAATTGTTGTATTTGTAAGGATTTCGCTGCAACGTGTTTTGGACTCTCGAATAGCACTACTCCGAAAAGAGCAAGCAATGGCGTATACACGAAGTCTTGTTGCTGGTTTTGATATTGACAACATCGATGATCTTGTATATTTTGCAAATGCATTTGGAGCATCGCGTTTAAGGTATGTACTGGAGATATACAATTTACAAGTTCTTACTTTGATACTTACGTTGATGCTATCTAATCAGAAGATTATGTGTTTTTGTGTTAAATTTGTCTGATTCTTGCATGGTTATATTCTTCTTGCCGATTTGAAAACAATACTCTTTTTTCTTTGAAAACCTTTTCCGTTCGTTTTAGAAATAAAAATTATCTTGACAATTGATCCTACTTTGTAGATTGTGAAATTTCTCTTGTCTAAGTGGATTGAAGGATCAACCAACTTTTGATGTTAGTTCTCTCATTCCTTGCAAATATAAGGATAATCGAGAGCGTATTTGTTCGAATTTCTATAAAATATAACGGTTTTCTTGCAACGAGATGCGACTTCATTCAAAACTTGCATCCAGTATTTGTTGATTGGTGGAACTTACCTCATTCCTTTAGTTGAGTTTCGACTTCAAGACTAATTTCTAAGTCGCGATTTTCAATGTTTGTAGGGAAGCTTGCAATAATTTTAAGGAGCTGTGGAAGAAAAAGCACGCAGACGATCTGTGGATTCAAGAAGTAGCTGCAATGCAGTCAAGCTTACCGCCAGGACTCTTGTTTTCTGGATCATCAGGAATTATACTTGCAAATGACGTAACCGTTCATGATCAGAATAACAAGAATAATAGCTCTACAGACAGTATTCCTTCGAGCGACGAAAATGCATTTCTTGAAACATCAAATAAAAAAGAAGGTATTATACTATTCTCGAAAATGCATTTGAGCATATAACATAACGGTTATTTAATCTCGATAAATGTTTTGCGTAGATGTGAACTTGCCACACATGGCGAATGTTCATATGCCGATGCATATGCCGTGGCCTTACAATGTACCGCCGTATATGTATAATCTTCAAAATCCCGGTCAGCAAATGCCGTCATACCAAGGATATCCTCCTTACCTTCAAAATAATATGCATTGGCCTTCTAACATGGGAGTGAACCAAAAACCGTCAGTGACTAAAAGAGAGAAATCTCGTAATAAGAAAGGATCGGAAGAATATGAAGAACCGGAAACAGATTCCAGTGATCCTGATTCAGGGAGTGAATCTGATTCGGGTAAACAGAAAGACTCAAACAGTTCTTTGAAGGATGATAAGAAGAAAAGACACCGAAGAAAATCGTCTGGAACGGTTGTGATACGTAATATCAACTACATTACTCCGAAAAGGAGAAATGGAAATGAGAGTGGAGGTTCTGATGAATCTTCTTTAGAGGACGATGTTGTCTTCGACGAAGAAACCATCAAACAGAAGGTTGGTGTTGCACTTGAATCATTGCAGAAGGTTCATAAAGGTGAAAAACGTGGTAGTCGAAAAAAGTCAGCAGCTAAACACAATGTAACTAAATCGAGTGATGATGCCGAGGAAGATGCATCCCAAGGTGGGAACAAAAATGAGAACTGGAATGCCTTCCAGAGCCTTTTGAAGATAGATTCCGAGACCGAAGTTGACGGATCAGAACCAACACAATCAATCGATGTCCAGGATGAACATTTTGTGTCGAGCAACTCTGAAGGAAGAATGTCATCTGCTGCTAGTTCTGCTCCAAACATGGATTTCAATGAAGTTCCGAAGAATCGCGAAGTTGTGAATGACTCCTTCATTGTGACTCAAAGAGACGGAGGAAATGGAGGCGGATCGAAGATGGATGGATATGTAGACAACTTCGGCCCAATTACAAAGATCAAAGAAAATATCGGCGAAGATATATTGTTATCACACATATCAAGAGAACCGAGAAATGAACTTGGTGATCCATTAAATACTTATGCTGCTGATTCATCATTACAAACCAAGGGAAGAGGATCGGAAGATTGGTTTATCGTTGATAACAACTTGGAAAGTACGAGAAGCCATGATTCCTCAATTGTGCCTATAGTGTTCGATTCTTCTCATGCTGAAAAAAGAAGCGAAAAAAATATCATCGATGATTCCTTCATGATACACGGTGATCAGTTGGTAGATAACAATCTTTCTGATTCGCAATGGAAGACGGATATGAGTATGGTTGAAAATCTAACATCTTCCAACAGAGAAGAAAGTGACACAAAAGAAAAGACCGCGTTATCAAAGATAGAGGAGCCAAATGATCTCTGTGTAGTTCTGCGACGCGATTCTGGATCGGATTCTGTTGAGGCCTCAAGAACCATGGACTATGAAATCGACTTTTCTTACTCAGAACCTGATAGAAGAACTTCTGTTGATGATTCGAGTGTTGATGCGAATAACAACAATCTTCCAAGTAGTCCAAAGAAAACCAACGCGATTAAAAACAAAGTCTCGCGATTACCTGCAAAGGGAAAGCCCGAAATAATTCCTAGAACCCGAAAACCATCTGTTCCAAGTAGGACTATAGTTCAAAAGAGCCAAAGGGAAAAGGTATTATGATTTTTCGACTTTCATATTTTCTCATAACATTCATTAATATAGCTTTTGATTAACGAGTATTTATCCTGATTTGGTAAACAGGAAGATGAAATTAGGAAGAAGTTGGAAGAAAAGGCGAATGAACGACAGAGGAGAATAGCCGAAAGAACTGCATCTTCTGGTGTTGTTCGAGCCGTGCCGGGGAAAACCGATAAAAACAAGACTCAAACTGTTAAAGAGACAAAGAGAATCAGTTCTGTTAAGAAAATTTAGAAAAACTGGTTGATCAATGTGTGGATGAATGCATATCTTATGAAGTATATAGGTTATGGTGAATCTATAAGGTAAAGTGTATTTAAAATATTGATGATTGTTATTAAATTAAATTGAAATAATTCGTTTTGTTTTGTATGAATAAACAAACTCTTAAGGTCATTGGAAATTTTCAGACCTATATAGTTACTCAAAATTGAGATTTGTTTTGAATTTTGATTCATGGGTTGTATATTCAGGATTCTTTATTCTATGTAATGTTTGAAACATTTGTATGTGCAACCAACGATGAAAATTTATCTTTTTGTTTTGATTGAGTTTTCAGTTTTACTAAATATAGTAACTGTTCTGGACTGGGCCCGGCTGGCCCAATAGCAACGAGAAAGGCCCAATCCAATCGGACTTGCTAGGGGTCACGCCGACCTAAGGATCATAGCTATGTGTTGGCTCCTAAATTCGACACCCTTGTTTTATTAATATCAGCCATTAAAGCTGAAGGATGTTTTCGACCAGCTGAGTCTGTCGAAATGCCCATCGAAAGGTGGCAATGTACTTAGAGGATTTCTTCCAAGAGAGAAGTTGGTTGCCTTCGACGTCGAAGGTGTTTCTCGTCGAAGATGCTTCTCGACGAAGGTGTTCGATGGTTCAGAGTGGAACGGTTTGAAATTCAAGCGTTTGGAGGGAAAACGGTTTCCAGCGGTTACCAAGTGCAACGTGCAAAGATCTGGAGCGTCGAACGCTGAGAACGTGCCAAGTGGAGTCATCTCGAAGCAGTGTAACTGTCCGACGGTTACTTGGGATGTTTTAGTATAAATAGTAGTAGGTCATGCAGTTTCTCGCGTGTGTTCACAATTATATACAAAGTCACTCATATAGATTCGAGTACCCAGCGTGTGAGAAAGAATTGTTGAGAATGTATGTGTGAAACACCACTTTTATTAATCAAAGTTATTTACTTTCCAGAAACTTTACTTGCTTTCTTCTTTACTTTTCCTGTCGAAGCCTTTTATTTCAAGCCTTCATTTATTTTATCAAGCCCATTTCTTCATGCAATTTACTTAAAGCCTCTTCATTTTCTCGTCATTTAACCTTTATCCAACTTAATCAAAACCTCAAAATCAACCATGTCTTAGGATCAATCTGATCGATCCTGCGAGTAACCAAATAAGTAACCATTTGGAGGATCAGCGGTTGTTTACCAATAACCACGGTAAACAAATTGGCACACCCGGTGGGACTGTGTGTTGATTGTTGAAGTTTAACCTTTTTAAACATAATCTCATCTTTTTCGAGGAGTGTTGTATGTTATTGAGAAGTGGTAGAATATACACTAACGATACCAATACTGCCAGAAGAAGGGAAGAGATGGCGAATCCGCTAAACAATAACGAAATCCCACAATCGAATGTGGGAGCAACGGTTATCCCGACCGTAAGTGAAGCGATAACCGCTGGTTCAACACCAGCAGTAACGGTCACAACAACGGGGCCATTACCTCCGTTCACAGGCCCCAGAGTGCCTTTGGGAACTCCCCCACCAAGGGGAAATTTAGGCACAAGGCCTTATGTTCCCCCAGGATTTATGACAGGCGGTCATAATCGAGAACCACTCTATGGCATGCCAACTTCTGACTTGGCTAGCCTAACGAACGCTGCGTCCACTTTTTCAGACCCTTTAGTGAGTGCCTCTTCGCCACTCCAAGGTTCTGGAGTAGGTATGGCGAATAGAAATAGGACCCAACTCTTAGGAGGAACGTCCCAAGTAGCACATGGCCTTACAAATGCCTCGACAGCAGTCTTGAGGCAACAAATGGACGAAAGCAACCATGATATGGTTCAAATGTTGGCACAAACTTTAAGTACAGTGCTAAACCCTCTAATACAAAACACTACTCAATCGAATCAGCAGATGACAACGCAAATGACGCGTTTGGCTGATTTCTTTGGAGTCCCCCAACCTATTCGACAGCCCCAAAGGGCGCAAATAAGGGGAAACCAGGGTGTGTTCTTAGAGGAAGAAACCACTATCAACCAAGTCCAACAGCCTGTCGAAGAAAACCTTAGGGCACGATTGGAGCAACCTGTCGAAGAACCTAGGGTAATAACCCCAGAGGTAAGGTTAGTTAACAGAAACCAAAATGCTGACGAAGTAGTTCAGCATATCCAATACCAAAACATGGGTCTGGAAAATAATCTGGCAACCATGATCGAAAGGATCATGACTCAAAATGGGATGAACATGGGCTTTCGAAGGCCCAACTTTACATCCCCGCTGTCAGAATACGTGTTACAAACAGACTTACCTCCTAGATGTAAAGTCCCTAAATTCACTAAGTTCTCTGGGGACACGACAGAATCTACTGTCGAACATGTGGCGAGATACTTGATCGAAGCAGGAGATATTTCGAACAACGAAAACCTGAGGATTAAGTACTTCCCAAGTTCTTTAACAAAGAACGCTTTTACTTGGTTTACAACTCTCCCCCCCCAATTCGATCCATCATTGGACCCAGTTGGAAAGATTGTTTCACGAGCAATTCTACATGGGGCAAACCAAGATAAGCCTGAAAGAATTGGCCAGTGTAAAGAGACGTTTCACTGAACTTATAGACGAATATCTAAATAGGTTTAGGTTGCTCAAAGCAAGATGTTTTACACAAGTGCCGGAACATGAGTTAGTCGAAATAGCCGCAGGCAGTTTAGATTATTCCATTAGGAAGAAGTTAGACACTCAATACCTGAGAGACATGGCCCAACTGGCCGATAGAGTTCGACAGGTAGAACGCCTCAAAGCTGAAAAGGCAAAGGCAACGAAAACTTATAAGAGAGAGAGGATAGCGTATGTTGAGATGGATGACGAAGATCCAGAATCCTTCGACGATACTATAACTGTCGAAGAAGGAGATGTCGATTTAGCGGAACTAAAACAAGGGCCACCATACTCTTGCAAACTGTTAGTCCCTTCAAGTGGGAAAAATCCCATTGGTCCAGAAAGGACCAACGATAGGTTCCCCAAAAAGACTTATAGTTTTGATATTACAAAATGTGATGAGATCTTTGACTTGCTTGTAAAAGATGGCCAAATGATAATACCCCCAGGGGTAAAAGTGCCTCCTCTTGATCAAAGAAAGAAGAGAGGCTTTTGTAAATATCATAATTTTCTGGGCCATAAAACGTCTCAATGTTTTCTTTTCAGGAATCTTGTGCAAGACGCTATCGAATAAGGGAGGTTGAAGTTTGCTGACAAGACCCCCATGGCTGTGGACTCTAATCCGTTGCAGGCTGAAGCCCACTATGCTGAACCCTCAGAGGTGAACGTGATCGAGGCATCCAGAAGCCAGTCGAAGAGGCCAGGAATCACAATGGTCGAAGTCTCAAAGGACCATATCAACATGCCAATCTTTGGCAGTTTTTCTGGGAATTTATCCAGAAAGACAATTGAAGCGGTTCAGAAAGCGGTCGAAAGCCCAAAGATGGAGACAGTTGGAGCCTAAAAAACTGGACCAGAACCCAGTTCTCACTTGGCCACAGTTCAAGGCCAGACAGAGGACTTGGAGATTCAAATGAAGCAGTTGACTCTTGCCAACAAAGATACCATGAATGTCAACATGGTCGAAGTCTCTGACCCAAAAGCATCAGAGGAGGCCATGAGGCAAGAACAAGCTAACAAGACTGCTTTCCCTCGGGAAAATGAAAATCTGGCAGATTTTCTGCAAAGATGCTAGAAAAAGAAGTCAGAAGTGATGCTGTGTCCAAGATGCAGTTCGATCTTCGACAAAAAAGTTGCTGAACATATTCAAGGCGTAAGAGCAGCAAATAGGAGAAGGGAAAATGTTGATCTTCGACATGACCCCAGAAGAGCCTCCCAAAGAGGTTCAAACCAAGAAAAGAGGCCATTGACTTTCAGGCCTCCAACTAATGTGCCAGTAGATACATGGTACAAAACATCTGGTCGAAAGAGGCCAAGCGAGGAGAGATGACACTCTTTCGATGTGCCAAGGGGTTCATCTTTAACACAAAAGAAAGAGCCTCAAGTTGCTGCCCCTAAAGTTACACAGGTGTCAAGCAACTACAAAGGGAAAAATCCCATGTCTCGATCTCAATGGAGGAGATACCAGAGGCGACGAAAAGCTGAGAGGGAGGCTGCCAATGAACCAAAGGCAGAAACCAGTTCAAATGTCCCTCTAAGGAAGAAAAGGAAACCTCTGGAAAGAGAGCCAGTAACCAACAGGCTAGTTTGGCCTAACCAAGGTGAAATTGAGGATGAAGATGGTTCTGAGTCTGATGATACTTTGGACATCATGGTGAATATAGTCTCAGTGCTGCCCAGAGAGTTCAACCGACAGGTTGAGGTCGAAACAAGTGATTGGGAAGTGGAGCAAGAAATGGCCAAACATAGGTCAGTGTGCTATTTCGTCATGGACAATGGCACTACTGAGGAACAAAATGGGTTCTTCGAACCACCTACAGAGGCGATGAAAAATCACCTCAAGCCTTTATTTATAAGGGCTAAACTCGAAGAAACTACAGTGAATAAAATCTTGGTGGATTGTGGGGCAACCATCAACATTATTCCTCACTTTATGCTAAGTAAAATAGGCAAAAGGGATGAGGACATTAAGCCTCATAACATGGTCCTGTCGAACTATGAGGGCGGCATAGGGACCACTATGGGAGTGATCCAACTGGATATCAAGGTAGGATCTATCCTTCGACCAACGATGTTTATGGTCATATCGGCCAAACCTAACTATAATCTTTTGCTGGGCCGTGAATGGATTCATGGTGTTGGGGCTGTGCCATCATCAATGCACCAGAGGTTGCTGCTATGGCGTCCAGATGGGATGGTCGAAAACATAGAAGCAGATCAAAGCTATTACCTGGGCGAAGTTAATCACCTAGGGCTGGCAGATTTCGACAAGAACTTGGCTCACATAGGGCCATGTCCAACACCTGACTTCGACTTGGCGCCAGCGCCAAATACTTTTTGTTCCCTATACC